AAAGCTTTGGGGTCTTGGGAGATTGACATGCAATAACATCGGGCAAAAATGATAGTTTCAGGTTTTATGTAACGTTGTAAGATCTTCTTGTACTCTACCAACCTAAAAACAGAGCTCATGAATTGAGCTGTCTTAGCATTTGTTCACAATTGCCCACCTTCTTCTCTTTCACCTAGGCGACAGAAGGCCAGGGAGAGGCAACAAAAGTTGTTGGCTGAATTTGCATCAAGGCAGAAAAGCTTTATGGAAACCGCCATGGATGTTGGTAAGGTTTTATTCTCCATTTTTCTTAATGTGTGTTTTTTTCAGGTCTCAAGATGTTTGCAAATGGGGCTAAAGGAGTATTGTTTCCTAGGGCACATTTAATGGTAAGAAACAGGATATTTAGACTGAAGGGAGCGAGAAACAGCTTCCCCACTGGAGTTCATCGTAGAACCCTCAAGGAAAGTTCTTGCTGTAGCCATAAAAGAAGTGGCTCAGTCTTCTGGTTTAGCCACATAACTGTAGTGATGACCCTTCACTCAAATCTATTCAAATCCTGCATATAAACCTGCCCAGCAGCTTTGTGCATGGGGTTGAAATGGTAGGGGAGGGTAAAAGGAGCCCCCCAAGTTCACTGAAGTTTCTGGGGAGATGATGTGCAAATGCCATCTCCCAGTGCTCCTACCAAGAGTGAATGGTACTCCTGAAGGATAGCTCCACAAATACCTGGCAGGGACCTCAGTTATATTATTAGCACTCAAGATGTTGTTGTTGTTTAGTCGATTAGTCATTTCCAACTCTTTGTGACCCCATGGACCAGAACACGCCAGGCACTCCTGTCTTCCACTGCCTCCCGCAGTTTGGTCAAATTCATGTTGGTCACTTCTATAACACTTTCCAACCATCTTGTCCTTCGTCGTCTCCTTTTCCTTGTGCCCTCAATCTTTCCCAACATCAGGGTCTTTTCCAGGGAGTCTTCTCTTCTCACGAGGTGGCCAAAGTATTGGAGCCTCAGCTTCAGGATCTGTCCTTCCAGTGAGCACTCACGGCTGATTTCCTTCAGAATGAATAGGTTTCATCTTCTTGCCGTCCATGGGACTCTCCTCCAGCACCACAATTCAAAAGCATCGATTCTGCGGCGATCAGCCTTCTTTGTGGTCCAGCTCTCACTTCCATACCATCACTACTACCAGATATGGCTGGATGATTTTGTAGGACTGACAGGATGCCGTTTTCTCTGATCTCTCCTAAGCATCCGTTAGAAACACAGGAGTTATCAGCACCCTATCCACATAGTGTGTGTCTGAAGCTTCAGGGCTACTACCCAAACCACTTCTCAAAAAAGAGAGATGGGAGATTGGGTTCTAGCTAAGCAAGGGAGTTCAGGATGTGGCTTTTTGATCAAGCACTTCCCAGTCAACCTTTGTATCATTTCCACTTCCTCTAGCCAGACTTTGCCAGCCAGGGTGGATTTGCCAGTCCATTCTGGAGATACTTCCCACATCGCTTGATTGAGCATTTCGTAAGCCACCCCGAGAAATCTTTAAAGGGCAGGATGTGAGTACTTTGGTGGGCAGTATTGGTGGATGGTACATTTCCGGGCACAATTCAAAGTGTTTGTGCTGACCTTTCAAGCCCTAAACAGCCTCAGCCCAGTATACATGAAGGAGTGTCTCCATCCCCATCGTTCAGCCCGGACACTCAGGTCCAGCTCCAAGGGCCTTCTGGCGCCTCCCTCGCTGCAAGAAGCGAAGCTACAGGGAACCAGGCAGAGGGTCTTCTCGGTAGTGGCGCCCACCCTATGGAGTGCTCTCCCATCAGATGTCAAGGAAATAAACAACTATCTGATGTTTAGAAGATATCTAAAGGCAGCCCTGTTTAGGGAAGCTTTTAAAGTTTGATGTTTTATTGTGCTTTTAATATTCTGCTGGAAGCCACCCAGAGTGACTGGAGAAACCCAGCCAGATAGGCAGGTTATAAATATCATCATCATCATCATCATCAAATAATCAAGACAAAAATGTGCTCCCCAAGACCCAGGTTCTGGTTCAGCAGATAAACTGGTAGATGCAGTGTCTGATGCCAAACAGAAGTGATTTCGGGGAGTGAGAAGACAAGCCAAGACGTAGGACATTTTCTGTGTTGACCTGAAACAATTCTGTGTAAGGGCTAGAATAGCAGCAAAGTCATCTGCCATCTCTGTAGCTTTTGTCTAAGCAATCTGGTTGCTGCATGGTTGGGAAGCTACCTGAGATAACTGTGTGTGCCACCTTGAGTTCCTTATAGTAATAATACTGATAATAATTTTATTTTTTTATACCCTGCCCATCTGGCTGGGTTTCCCCAGTTCCTTGGGGGAAAGGCAGAATAAAAATGCAATACATACATAAGAACTCACGAGTGGCCAACCAATGGTGTAAGTCAGGGATAGCAGGGCCTGATGGAAAACCCATCGGTCCCCATTCCTGGTATAAGCGGTTGGATTTTGTGACACTGCTATTGCCAGTGGAGAAAGACACATTCAGTCCATATTGCTTCAGATGGCTGACTTTCAAAATTGTCTGACTTGCAAGTGGAATCACCTCATTTTAGAATTTTATCACTTGTGATTTTAAAAAAAAATTATACAGAACTTAATGTGTTGTGATTTAATGTTAATCCAGAAAATTCATATGGAACATCCTTTTTGACAAGTGGGTAATACTCTTTTTCTAGTCTCTTATTAACTCAGTGTGATTCTGCAGCCCAGCTTTCAATTCCTGGAGCAAATTATTTTTGAGGAGTTGCGGGTAGGGAAGGTACATACTCATTTTAATAGCAAGGTGACACAGGTTTTCCCAGCACCTCTCCTTCTGGATTTTATAGGACAATAGATTAGCTTCTACTCGTCGTCTGGGAATACACATGCTGTGTTAGGGCAAAATATATTAACATTCTGAGAGTTGCTTCCGTGCTTGGAGACCACCTTGACACACAGTGCTTTGCAAAAGCAATGTTCCTTCCAGTTAACAGATTGCAAACCACACTTAGCATGTGGGGTTTCCAGTGCTTAAGCTAAGGCGTTGCAGAAACATACAATATTTGGTGTCAAGTTATGCATTATTCTCATGGATCAGATACATTGGCTGAGATAATTTCAGTAACCTAGTGCTACTTGATATTTGATTTGAGGGTTTTGCTCTGTTTCGTTTTTAAAGATTTATACATTTGACATTGTTGAAAGATGTCTATGGGCAATTAGGAGTACCAACCATACATTTTATCCCCAGTTTCTTTATTCACAGTAATCTACTATTAGCTGGTTAAAAAACCAGTTGTGGCTAGTGGTAGCAATTGCCCTAGTGTAGTGGTAATAGTATACACCAGGCTTCCGCAACCTCAGCCCTCCAGATGTTTTGAGACTACAATTCCCAGCATCCCTGGCCACTGGTCCTGCTAGCTAGGGATCATGGGAGTTGTAGGCCAAAAACATCTGGAGGGCGGAGGTTGAGGAAGCCTGGTATACATTTATTTTCCCAGTTGCTTACAAATGCCTAGGTAATCTCAATATGACCCACTACTGCTGCTGCTGCTGCTGCTGCTGCTACTACTACTACTAATAATAATTATAATAATAACAACTTATTATTTATACCCCACCCATCTGGCTGGGTTTCCCCAGCCTCTCTGGGCGGCTTCCAACAAAAGATTAAAAATACATTAAAACATCAGTCATTAAAAGCTTCCCTAAACAGGGCTGCCTTCAGATGTCTTCTAAACATCAAATAGTTGTTTATTTCTTTGACATCTGATGGGAAGGTGTTCCACAGGGCAGGCGCCACTACCAAGAAGGCCCTCTGCCTGGTTCCCTGTAACCTCACTTATCACAGTGAGGAAACTGCCAGAAGGCCCTCAGCGCTGGACCTCAGTGTCCGGGTTGAACGTTGGCGGTAGAGACGCTCCTTCAGGTATACTGGGCCAAGGCCGTTTTAAAGGTCATAATGGAAAATAATGGCTATTTCTGAACCATTGAGAATGTTCCCTTCTCTTATAATAAAGCTGTGATCATGATTCCACTAATTCTAATTAATAATAACGCTTTCACATACTGTTTTTGAGCTGCTGTAGCCTTTTAGCTAGACCCCCCAGCCTGTATGATCTAACTGCATAACTATGAACTATGCATTTGCTATATTTAAAGTAATATATTCAAGTTCTTAATTTAGGCCGGTACTGCAGTGGCTTTGAAATCTGGTTTGGAAAACTTTTTTTAAAAAAAAACTGTTATTAAACAGCACACGGATTTTGTGCCAAAATCTAAAGTAGCTCACTGTGTGCTGTTTTCATGCACTACAGCAATCAGGACACTTTAACAAGATATGCTAGCTTTAGTTAAGTGGTTGATTTAATCAGTTTTATGCAGCTATAGCAATTGCCTAATAAATCAGTGATATTATTGAAGATGCTTGCTCCTTTCCTATACTGAACAACTGAGGTGACTTCCTTATTGTTGCTTTGGTCCTGCTGTTATGTAGTTTGTAATTGAAGCATTGCGTATTCAAATCCTATTGATTTCAGCAGGAAAAGTTGAAACAAACATCTTAATAATCTGTCAAAGTACAGGAATACTCAGCGCAGGATGTTCCTTCTGCATGGCTGTGCAGCCTGTGGCTGGAGGGGTAACCAGATGTAATGGTTAAAACAATAACGAATTGTTTTCTATACAGAGATATATCCTATGATTCTGTAGATTGGCGATTGATTTGTATAGTGTGGTTGACTTCTCTTGTCACAGCAAGCCTTAACATTTGAATGTTTTTATATTCAATACTCAATTGAAAATGCTTGCCATTATATTTCCAAAGCCGTTAAAAAGCTTTTTTTTTAGTGATTTATTAGGAAAGCTTTCCTAATGGATTCTTTTTTATCTTTGGAAACGGTGACCCGAATTCCTTTATAGGTTGAAAACATACAGGAGAAATGTTGTTTTCCTATTTCCTATTTACATGTCTAGCATCCCTGAGAGAAATTAATATGGAAAGGCTATACTTTCAGGGATCACTTCTATAGTGCATAACTAGAGAAATTAATATAGAAATGAATTGGTTTTTAAACATGAAAACTACCGTATTCATTTCATCTGTTGTTCTTTCAGTTGCCACTGGGTGGTGGTAAAAGTGCATATAGTGTCAAAAACAATAATCTTAAGTGTCAAAGACAATATGCTTCTTTTTCTTCCTGCTCCCTGGTTTCCACCCTAGATTTTGGCAGCATTGCCATTAAGAAACTAAAGGAAAACAGCATCTTCCCTGTGACCAAGGTTACACTTTTCTCCTTGCCTGTGATAATGGAGTTCCCTGTCAGGGACTTGAATGTGCAGCCAATCTCTGCAGAAAGCAGTTTTGCCTGCCCAATGCTTGGGGTTTTGCTCACCATAGAGATGGCAAAGCTCCTTGGGCTGTGGTTCCTGGCAACCAGCTGGCAGTTGGGGACTTCAGTAGCACCTTGCATAGGACTTTGACAGGTGGGCAGAACAACCCACCTATAATTTATCTGATTACATGGGTTTATTGGCCGGTGGGTTGTCTCACTCCCCTGCCACCAAGTGGGTGGGGACAGATAATGGGGCCAGAAGTGTTCCCCAACCCCTGTTCTAGTCCCTCAGTGAGAGAAACATCCCACATGATGCTTTCTAAATGTTCTTCTGGTTTTTCTCATCCGTTGTCTCATGCCAAGTCCCAACTTTTCAAATTTTGGATTGAAAAAACAGGAGTTAGATAGATAAGGGGCTATTGAGATGAAGCACATGGAATATTCCAATGCCTCCACATTAATTACTAAATCAGTGATGGTGGTGGTTGTTTTATTTGATGTGCATTTTTCTTTTCTTTTTTTGTACATAAGTTTGCTGCAGCTATATGGCTTGTAAAACTGGCCGATGCAGCAGCTTCTCAGTCTCTTCCTTCAGTGGAGGTGGGGACAAGCTTGTCCTACCACCCAAATATTGCAAGGAACATGCTTTACACACTCTCTCTCTCTCTGTGTGTATATATAACATAAACATGATTTATAGTAGCATGGAGATAAAGCTCAGTGTGGACAAAACTAAATATATGTGCCATCCTAAGGTGGAAAATAGTAACACGCTGCATTTTATAATTGGTATAATGATCCAACTGACAGGCCTACCTTGCATTTTACCCACTTATGAGAGTGTCAGTTCTTCACTAATACAGTTTCCTTCCTCTGATCCTTAGAGTCACCAGATGCAGAAATTGCTATGGAGATAGCAACAGCAGAACAGCATGTCCCTGAAGCTGTGTATGATTGTGTTATTTGTGGACAGAGCGGCCCTTCCACTGAGGAGCGACCGGCTGGATTAGTTGTGCTCTTACAGGCCTCTTCAGGTAGGGCTGATTAAACAGCTTACTGAGTTGGAAGAAGCTAGGTAGATATCTGAGAATATTTTAACAGCAGCTAGTGTTTGCTGCACTTCAAAGGAGCTGCAAGAAAAGTGTACATACGGCCATCTCACATGGTTATACAATGGTATCTCTGGATGCGAACGGGATCCATTCCGGAGCCCCGTTTGCATCCAGAAGTGAACGCAACCCGCATCTGCATGTGCGCGGGTCATGATTCGCCGCTTCCGCACATGCATGCGACGTGCGCATGCGCGAGCGTTACTTCCGGGTCGCCGCAGTGCACAACCTGAAAATACTTATCCCGAAGCTACTTCAACCCGAGGTATGGCTGTATTCTTGAGCTTTTTGTTGTATAAAACCAAAGCGAGGAAGCTTTTTCGCTCTGAGGGTTGTGTGTCCCATCATGGCAACCTCCACATGCCCCTTATGGACAGGGTCAGAGACACTAGTGGTTGGGGCAACAGACATGATTCTTACCTTTGCACTGGACGCCGCGTTCTAGACCATGCAGAAGCCAGAGGTTTCTAGCCATGCTCACACCCTCTCCACCTGCTATCCAAGAAAGCAAGGTGCATTATCACACTTAGCAAACACGTTTCTGCTGGCAAAAATCACTGGTTAGGAAGCCATGGACCTAGCCAGGCAAGAGTGCGTGTCCTGCTGGGAGAATATGGTGTGTGGATGTGACCTGTGGCTAAAAAGTAGAACTACCTCAGTTGCGCTTCGTTTCCCGCTCTGCTGATGATGACATTATTTCTCCCTGCAGTTTTGGGGCAATGCCGCAATACTACTGAGCCCAAGAAGCTGCCAACCTCTGAAAAGGAGCAGATTTATCCTTGGGATACGTGTGCGGCAGTGTACGAAGCCCGCCTTGCCACTTTACAGCACTTCTTTAAAGATGTAAGTTTTCTGCAGCAACATGTTGCGATGGTGTTCTGTTTCTTGCGCTTCGTTTAAATATTTAATTGTATTAACTGCTATAATTTTTCTTACAACTTCTTTGAATTCTAATAGCAACTACAAATAACTTCAAACGATCTCTGTGAGTGTTCCACAGGGATGCGAGAACCTGTGTCTCTGATTGTGCACACTGTTCAGTTTAGGACATGTATGTTAAAATGCTTGCTCAGCAGTGAAAATAGTTGTTTATCAGTGTCACAATTAGGACTGTGGCAAAGCAGCAGTTTTAAGGGCATTTTTTCTCCCAGAAGAGGAGTGCAGTTTGAAAAAGAAAGAGCACTTCTTTATGCCAGTGATTTCATCTCCATTCTTCTTCCTCTTCCTCTTCTTCTCCTTCCAAAAAACACAACCCCATTAAAAAACTATTGACGTTCCATCCAGCAGTGATGGAACAGAGCCCTGGCCATCATCACATTTCCTCCTAAGAATGTCTCTTGAACTATACAAGCATGTTTGCACAAAAAAAGGAGAGAGGAGTCCACTGTTGTCCTGGCAAACTGTTTCAGGGCCCAGTAGTTGTAGTTCAGGAAAAAAAAATACTGAAATTGTTCCACATCATTTGTCACCTACAAATGGAATGGAGAATTTGGCTGGGTCCTGATTACAACTCCTTGTTTGTGAAATGAGTATACAACTGAAGGAATTTTTAAAAATGTTTGGAGTGTCGCACTAAGAAATCAGGTGTCATTTTCTGCTTCACTTTGTTGCCATATCTTCTACCTCTCATTTACATTGTTTCCTGAAAGGAGCAAAGCTACATGCAAGAACATTTCCTTCTGTAGAGGGGAAACACAATAATTTCACATCCTTATGCCCTTTCCTTAGAGCAAATGGGAAGCACGAAACATGGCTTTTCAACAACTCTAGCAGGTAGACCTTGTTTCTACATCAAGTTAAAATATTCCCATAAAACCAGAATTTACTTAAATTGTAATCTAAAATCTAAAAGCATTGCTTCCTTTCTAGCCAACCGATGAATGAATAGTTTGGGGTACATGCATAACCCACTGCACACAAAGAACATTTTCATACATTTCAAATGTTTAGTCATTTTTACTGTTTAGTTAAAGGGGGCCGCATGCATTTGATTGTGTGAAAAAGATCTGAAGTGCCTTGGTACCTATTAGCAGAGCACTTTATTAGCAATTCTAGATCTTTCTGAAATACAGCATCCTGTGCACTGGGAATCCTCCCACTTAGGAAACTGGATTACTCTATGATTTTTTTAAAAAAGTATAGTCCAACTCAAATATTACTTGGATCAAATGTTTTTGCTTTCTTTCAGCTTTCCAGATCATTATTGTGCTAAAATGGTCATAGTAGGAAAGAATTAATCCTTAAATTTATCTTGGTGCAGAAACAGAAACCTCTGTTAAGGCCCTTGAATAGTTTGTTCACCTCAGCTAAGGAATAGGGGAACAAATCCTGTTTTTCTAAAGTTACTTTTTTCCAATTTTTTTAACACACGCGCGCACACACGGCTTTTATTCAGCTGGACCTCAATGGAGCTCAGTTGCAGCACCTCTCAGGTGTGCGCCGTTGCCATTCTAAGAGAACAAGGGAGAAGTTCACATCACCTCTTTTTCTAGAATAATAGTACTGTGTAAAATTAATAATAATAATAATAATAATAATAATAATAATAATAGGAAAAACCAGCAGCAGTTCACATCTATTATACATTAACAATCAGTTCATTCATTTTAAAATAAACATAAATTCATATAAACTCTCATATGTCCAAATAGGTATCCTCATGAAATTGATATCTGTAATAAATATGTTCAAATGTAGCCAGGCAGTATGGTCCACAGACCATCGAATCCTTCCAGGCTTATTTGCGATTTTAACCTACGTTATAAATTCTTTAGAAAATCTAAATTTGTCCAAAGTAGCAAACATAAAGTGCCTTGGTGGTATCCTAGCATCCGCTGAGAATCACTTTTCAGGTGAGTGCTAACGGGACCTTTTCAGCATCTAAGGAAATAAGTGCAGCTGGACCAGTTCTAAGACTGTTTAAAGCAGCCGGTTGGGTCACCAATCTTGGGCGATGAGCTCCCTGTCTATGCTGAATAAAACTTGCTTGATTCACATGCAGTACGGTTAATACCACTGCCTTAACTCTTATTAGCCAGAATCTCTGTTCATACCCTAACATCTATTCCAGTTAAAGAAATTGGCCTATAACTTGCAAAATTTGTCATGGTCTTTACCAGGCTTAGATGTAACAGAAATATATGCATCATACATTGGAAGTTGAACAGGAACCTTATTCAAAGACATTTTGATAAACAGATGATTAGGGATTAAAAAAACAACGCTGACTTTCTTGGCCCTGGCTCTTTGTTTGTCTTCACTTTATGAATAACATTCTATGTTTAAATTAGACAACTAATTACATGTAATTTATTTTAATTGTGATTAATTTACATTTTAATTGGTGGTGGAAATATACATGAATTTTTTTTTACCCCCCTTTTTTTACCTTTTTAAAAGAGTTCCTGTCTGCAATCGGTATCAATTGGCTGGGAAGGAGGTGTGTATGTACAAACCTGTGGCCACACGTTACACATAGATTGCCATAAATCCTACATGGAATCATTGCGGGTAAGTTAAAATGGACATTTCTGGATATTGAGCTTTTTTACTCATTAAGTACTATAGGCTTTGCTGTTGACATCGATAGAATCCCAGTGATGCCTTTATGTACCATCTGGATTTTTTAAACAAGGTGCAAAATCCAT